ACACTCACAATGACCTACCCCTTGCACGAACGATAATTATCAAGGTTATTATCAGGATTATAACATTAAGTAATAGTAGTCCTTAGCCAGGTTAGTAAGGTAGATCAAGTTGTACCCTCATTAGTTTTAGTAGTTAGTTATCTAGGTGTAGCATCCTACACGCGTGAGTATGAGTTTCCTTCTCATGCTCGACTTCTACCGTTGCCCAAACAACTAAGCAGTAAGCAATTACGCGTTCCTATTCCCATCGTTTAGGTGAAGGGCTTCTAACAGATTAAGAAGTGACTCTAGGTGTAATGTAAACGAGACCACTATCCAAGACTACATGTAATGCATAACTCATAATGAAACTCAATAAGTATCCAAAATAGGGTTGATAGTAGTAGGGTGTCTGCCTGTTGGATAAGCAAGGATCCCATAGCTTGAAACATCGCTGGACGTCTCTCCGATATCACGTACCTATATATCTGTCCATGTATGAGATACTTATGTATGCATGACATTATATTAAACATGCAAGAGGGAGTTGAGAGTACAAGATATGAGGTGTCATGCAATGATATTTATTTAAGTTATAGTGTTACAAGAGTGAGTGTTCAGGTATACATCGAAGGACTGTCGGTTTGTGTTATCGGATAGTCCGGCGTGAATGTCGGACGGTTCGGTGGTTCTGGAACTTAGTGGGAAAAGGACATACTGGAAACATTAGACTCTCCGATCTAATATCAGACCCTCCGGTATTAGGTCAGTGCTCTCAGAAAACCTTATTGTTCTCTATTATAATTTATTAGACACTCCGCCAGACTTGTCGGACCCTCCGGTGAATTATAATGTGTTCTGATTAAGTGCAGACAGACAACATCAGCAGTTGACGGATCCTCCACTAGATGCAGTGGACCCTCCGTCAGCTGACTGACAGTGCACAACTTATTCACTTCGAAATCCAAACTTTAACCCTAAGTGCTTGCATGTGTGTGATATCATGCTATCGTGTCCCTAAAGTGCTTAGGAAGACATCTAGGCAAGGACATGTGCCCATGGTGCAAAGATGGTACTATAGTTAACCTATTCCACATCCTTCCCATGATTGGATATATAAAAATGCATAAATGAGATGACATGAAGACATATGTATGGATATGCTGCACATAACATGTTTCATAGACAACACATGCTAAAAGAAGGCTAACAAAACAAGTTCCATAATTTTTAGGCACCTAGAGAATAAGTTATCTATTTTTTAGACTAAAAATGCATTACATTAAGTCAATATTAAAATATACTTTTTGGTGTCAAGATCATATCTAGATGATAGAGAATATCCTAAGGAATACAACAAACCTTGTTTCATAATTTTTGGAGTTCAAATGCATCTTCTATGACCTTTATAAGTTGGGGTTGTGCTGTTGTGGTACAGTGGACAGTCCGCCAGGGATGAACACGTGTGCCGGAGCATTTCACTGGGACAAACACTGGCACCAACGGACAGTCGCGAGAACGACGGACCATCCGGTAAAATGACAAACAGCTCGGGTGTAAAAACGTTGAAGATGATTCACAGGCCATCCGGGCTCCAAATTGAATGTGGTTTGTTTCTATGGCTTACTAGTGATGTGGGAAGCTTCTACAAGTGATGGATGTGCCATGCATGTGTTGTGGGAAGGTCGTCCACTAAAAATGGTGAATATCACCATGGGAGGCCATGGAGCTCATGGGGAAACTTGCTAGGGTTAGGGAGGATGAAGATGGAAGCCATGGGGGTTCTCACCATGCCTTGGGGAAGCTCCAAATGAAGCAGCTCGATCAAGGACGCAACATGTAGGGAGATCGAGCTTGGGCTCCATGGGAACTCGAGGTTGAAGAAGGTGCTCGGGTGTGGCCTTCTCCCAACTCTGGTGAACTTGACGGCGTGGATGAGGTGCAGCAGCTCACTGGTGTCATCGTCTTGCTGTAGGGGTGGGCCTTCTCCTCCTCCTCCTCCTCCTTCTTCCTCCCCTTTCTCCTCTCCTCTTCTTCTCTTCTCTCTTTCTCCATTTTCTGGTTCCTGAACGTGAGTGTGAAGGAATGAGGGAGGGGGAGAGGGCTGGTGGGGGGTTTTGTGTGTGAGTGGTGCCAATGACAAGTGGGGCCATGTGTGTGTGTGTGTGTGTGACACTGCATCAAGCTACATGAAACAGGTATCGACGGCGATCTGACGGACAGTCCGCCGTGAATGACGGACGCTCCGTTAGCGCACGAGCGCGTCTGTGTGTGACAACGCAACACCTACATGGGACACGTGTCAACATGTGTTGATGGATAGTCCGCCGTGGGTGACAGACGATCCGGTATAAATTGGTGTAGGGTCGAGATGGCAGACTAGAGGAGGGTTGAATAGTCCTTTCTAAAATTAAACGCGTCGGCTAACTGAGATAAATGCAGAATTAAAACTAACGGTCTAGCAAGACTACACCCCTCTATCTAAGTTCACAAGCATCTTGTAAAGATCCTAATTAGGCAACAAAGGTGTGGCAAAACCGCCCAAAATAACACACCTTCGGAGGCGCTGGTCTTCCACTAGACACTAAGCACCCCAAAAGCAAGCCATATCGGACGGTTCCGTCGAGCACACCCCAAGGGAGAACTCAAACAATTCACGTTTTTCCTCCAGGATCTAATAATGAGAACGAGTCTATAATACTTAGTCCATTTCATACAACAAGAGTTCTTAGAAATATATTATTACAATATCAAGTTCAAAGTGCGGAATTTAAATAGCGGAATTACAATAAACATGTAACGATAAGATACAAGGATTCGTCTGTGCTCACCAAAAGAATCCTCCACACAACAGCTACTCCTCAAGCTGCACCTGCAATAGGGGAAATAAACCCTGAGTACACAATGTACTCGCAAGACTTACCCGACTAGTGGGAATAATTTTCCGACTCCAAATGATATAATAAGCTTTATGGTTTGCTGGTTTCCTTTTTGCCAAAAGTATTACTAGTAGTGAATCCTTATGTATATTTCTTATTAGCAGTCATGATTAGTTCATTAGCTAACTATGCTATGTAAGCACTTGTTCTAGTTTTAAGCAAGAGTGGAGCAATCAGATCCATTTTACCATTTTTCATCTTCCAATTCTTACTACGGTGCTAGATCGTAGACAAGTCGTACCGTATTACACGGCGATTCGAAAATCAATGTAGTCCAGTTAGGTACCCCGAAACACACGCTCCGCTTGTACCCCAGGCACAAGCAGGACCAACCCACCACTGTCCTGTCAAGGGGTCCAGGTCCTCATCCAAACTTGGACTCCAAACCCTCACACCTGAGTCCCAAACTCAGTGTGGTGCTTAGACCTTCACCATCCCCGCCTCCAATTAGTTGGTCTAGAAAGAGCCAGAACCCACGACAAGAGAGCAACAAGGCTTTCCGCCCCCATAAGCAAGTATGTGCTTAGGATAATAAGTCTGTGACTTGACTAGAATCCAATGCAACGACCGGTCCTAACCGATACGGATAGGAAAATAGTGTAACCAAGCTATGCCCCGTTGACCGCGGGACACAACATCTTTCACCCACCAATACCCATACCCTATCCCTGCCCGGTCTCCATTTTTTCACCATTTTATCATGAGAGTGATAATAATAATCACCTATTGTGAGTAACGACAGGTTACTCACGCTACCGATAAGCTAAGCATAGCAGCTACACGGCCTAAGCTAGTAGGACTCATAGGTAGGTATATCTATACATGTAGTTTCAACAATAAGCGTGTAATGTAAATGCACATCACACACATATATATATATTGATTATTTAAAATAAGGGTTATTCAACGAGACTTGTAATATATGTTTCCGCTGAATTATTATGTGCTCCGATGATGAGATGTAATTTTGAGTTGTGGATGTTATTGTGGTATGATACTCAACCTGATTCTGAAGAAGAGTTGCCAAATGCGCTCCTGGGGAGTCGTCGAGGTTGGTTTGCTTAAATTGAACTGGTCAAGTGGATGACACTCGTTTTAAGTGAATAAACACGGCGGTCCCTCACACGTGGAATAGACCTAAAGCCACATATATTTATACGTTGAGTATAACACTTTGTTTTAAGGTTTTGTGAGAGATTTTTCAAGACACGCAGTATTACTTATGTGACAGGCACTAATATTTACATATATATACTCGAATTTGTGTATAAGATGATATAGAGATGCGACAGAACTTATTCGTGGATTTATTGATGCACGAAAAAATGGATATCGGAGATTTCTTCCAGGCGATATAAAACATTATTGTAGCCGCATTGCAGAAATGTCTATACATTAGAGTTTGTGAGCATACGACACCGCGCTCTCCGTGACTATGTTAATTTCATAAACTTTTCTTTTTAGATTTAATATCACTTTAACGTTGATATTTAATTTTATGATATTATTATCTTACTTATCGTGTTATCCATGTGTTATTAGAATAAGAGACGGTGACACGGTGCAAAGTTTGTAGCACGAACTGCCAGCATGTTCGGCTAGGGCTTATACGATCATATACGATCATAGATTATAAGCTGAAATAGTTTTTTTTCTCATATCAAATTAGTCAGCAGTAAATAATCCACGATTTACGATGAAACAAACATGCTGTGCATACACGCAAAGCTACTAGTGCCCCTACGGTCAAGGAACGAGCTCTGGTTTCCCGAATCCCGAGGAAAGGAAGGGACGTGCATGTCTGGCTAGAATAAACAAGTTGCTGCTGTCGTTCCAGTGGCCATACTACTGAAACTGAACTTGGGTATAAACATATATAATCGACTGCTTTTAACGAATCTCTTGCAATTGCAACCAACCAAATGAATTATATAATACTACAATATTCTTTTACACCAAAGAATCGATCGGTATAAACAATGAATGAGACTATAATCTATGCGCGTATAACCTGTCGTATCGTGCTCTGGCTCTGATCGACATCGCAATCAAAGTGCACCGTGGTTTAGCCCATCTCTACGCCTACGGCATGGAGCACTCGGGCGGGACGCCCTGCGGGAAGCGCTTGGTGTCCGCGCAGTAGTCGTACACCATGTAGTTGTCCCGCGCCCACTTCATCGACTGCTGCGCCGCCGCGTCCATCTGCTGCCCATACCCATTAGCCGACCCCAGCGGCGGCGGCGCGGTGGCCGTGAAGTTGCGGTACTGCGCCACGAAGGGGGCCTGCAACCAGTCCGTCTTGACGCGGCCGCCCTGCGTGGCCCAGTCCTCGGCGTCCCACAGCGAGCCGTACAGGCGCATCTGCTGCGACGACGGGTACGGCACGCCCCGGTCCGCGTGGTTCTTGAACTCCCGGATCGGCGTCCCGTCCACCAGCACGCTGCATATGGGCAACCCAATCATCAGTACGTTGTCAGATTGGCGTCGGATCGGCAATGGTGGAATATAAAATCTGGTCAGCGAATGCTTACAGGATGTGCTGCTGCGTCCACTCGATGGAGTAGGTGTGGAAGTCGGTGGTGGGGTCGAACCAGAGGTGGAACTGCTGCTCCCTGCTGCCGTTGCCGTAGGCGTACACGTTGGTGTGCAGCGTGTAGGGCTGCCCGCTCACGTTGCCCAGGAACTCGAGGTCGACCTCGTCGTGGACATCCCATGGCCCCTCCGAGATGAACTGCACGCACCATCGTCAGAAACCCGTAGTCAGGTCGAGCCAGAGATCGATTATACTCCAATCATGCATCGTGCTGCTCGTGCGTGCATTGCTGAAACTGAAGGCCGAGAATGAAGCTGCTTACGTAGAAGGTGGTGACCGTGCCGGCGGAGTTGTTGGGGACGAGCTTGATCTGCACGTCGGCGCGCGCGAAGAGGTACGTGTCCTTGGAGCGGAACCCGGAGCCGGAGGTGTGGTCGAGCGACAGCGTCAGCACCTGGCCGTCGGGCGAGACGCTCCCGCGGCCGTCGCCCCACGTCACCTCCAGGCCGTCGTCGACCCTGCCCGCCGCCGCGCCGGCGGTGCAGAGCCCCAGGAGCAGCGCCAGCAGCACGCAAGCCCTCGAGCTAATAAAAGCGCTCGCCATTGCTTAAGCCTCGCACGAAAGAACTGTTGTTTGGGATGAAGGGAAGAGCTAGCTAGCAGGCTAGCGAGATATGGATCGGAAACGGTGGTGATGGATGGGATGATGCGTGTCTCGCCACGAGGCTTATATAGAGTCTGCGCCACGGGCAGGGCAGGCAAAGGAATGGTTGGGATGAGGACGGAAGGAATGAATGGATCGACGCGCGGACGTACGTAGGACAGTGGACAGGGCAGGGCCCCAGGGCAGAGCGCGGCGGCTGAGGCGCATGTTCGCGTCTCGTTCCGGGAGTCCGGCTGGCGATGCGCGGACGACAGCGGGGATGTGTGCCTGCCTGTCGTGCTGCTGTGCGGGTGCAGCTGCGCGCGCGAGACGACGGCGGCGGGGTTGCGCGCGTAACTCTTGGCGGCGCGGAAGACAGTGCGTGCGAGGGCGACAGGTCCCGGTGCCGAACGCACGGGGACATGAGTGCACGCAAAGGAGGGGCTGGCACGCGTTTTTTCTGAATCCCGGTCGTGTTCCTTTCGCCGCGTCGTACGACTAGCTGACTGCCAGACGCACCAAACGCTAGACGCAGGAAGCAGCACCGGCGGGCGGCTGGCTGCCAACTGGAAGCCACGAGCGTGATGATTTCACCCGTGGCCGTGGGCCGTGGCGGAATGCCGAGGATCGGATGAGCCAACCGACGTGCTGCTGCAAATCTGCAGTGTGCCTGCCTCCTAGGACGGTTTTCAGGGGATTCTTGCCGATATGCTCATGTGGGCATCGGTTACATACAAACTGACCAATGTCTGTCCGCCACAGCATCATGCATCGAATCAGATCAGCACGAGATCAGGCGGTTCAGAGTACGTAATAATTTGAACTTGAACAAATTACGTACGAATCTGTCAACGTGTCCGAGTTTACAATTTCCTGATGAATGCTCGTTCCTGCTTGGCATCTGAGCTCTCGTGACCGTGGGGCACCGACCAGTACGATTGGAATTGGAGTGCCGGTTTACCAGCACCGACCCGCTCAACTGGCGCGCCGGTGAGGCGGTGACCGAGAACTGGCCTTTTGGGCTTGGACCACTAGTACTTCTCGTACGCTCTGGTCGTGGTCGGCCTACCAACTGTTCGCCGCGTCTCTTATTTCGGCCGCATGCTCCGTTTTGGGCTTTTTGTCCCGTAGGGTCGGCGCGTAGTCCAAGCCTAGGCAGTCTAGTAGGAACTACGAAGCTACGAGTAGTTGGATGTGGCTGGTTGGGAGATCATCTCTTGCCAACCCTAATCATTTTTCTCTAGGTTAGCGAAGTGCTTAAGGAGAAGGAGAGATTAGTAGACAGAGGAGAGCACCTCTGACTCTAATTTCTTCGTAACTTAGTGGAAGAATGAAGGGAGGTGGCTAGCCCTAACTTGAATAGATGTGCAGTGGTTCAAATCCTGTGCCAGTCAGGTTTGATTCGTTTGGTTTTAACATTTTTGGTGGAGTCTGAACTACAGTATGTTCTGTATCATTTCTATAAACTATGACTTAGAGTGGCAACAACTAACCTGCTCTCCTTCAAAGTTACAGTTCGATTAGCTGTGCCTTTCAGAGTCCATCATCGTGCTGTTGTTGTGAAGCCTTGCAGTTCGTTTGTTGCGTTCAGTAGAGTCTGCAGCTTGATCATTTGTTTCTGTACCTTCGGTTCTCTGAAGCTCTGCATTTGTGCTCCTGCTCTATTTCCTTACTCTGCTCTCGGTTGTTTTTCTGCAGGGAATCGATTGATGGCTGCAGAATTGATTGATGGCTTGGAGTGTATTTAGAGGACACAAGGTTTATTTAGAATGCCATGTTCGCACGTGTTACTAGTAATCGGAATGACTTCCTAGAGAGAACCGTTGCGAGAGCTCGCTTATACGCGCCGTGTACTTGTGTTGTGTTCTCGTCGGTTCGAGGTTCGAGGCCGTGATGGTTCTTCCGCCTCTCGAATCGCTCGCTTCTTTTATAGACGAAGAAAGCACCACAAGAAAAAGAAGAAACGAGAGGAGAGGACGACCTTTAGATGAATCCTTCTTATCCTTCATGCGGGTCCCGTCGTGTAGATGTCTTTAGAAACCATGTGGTGCCTCGACCAATCTTACGATGTGGTGTTTACTTGATATGGGTCATTTTGTTTGGGAAAAAAATTGGTGACATGAGTGTAAAAGTTAGTTGGATTCATTACGCTAGAACCTATTCATGTAAATTTGAGTGTCGACTCGGCATGGGTGCATGTAACTCAATTACCATACCTTGTTCACAAACCAAACATATGCAAGTGATTTAGAAATAATGCTATTGGCATGGTAATTGTTTCTAGTTTTCTATTGTAATCCTTTTTTTTCCGAAACACATCACACACAAAACATATATGTATGCAAACACACTCACCTAAACATATTGGGATCTATAAAACCGCCGCTAGCTACAGATGGCCAAATGGCTAGGGCTTATCGCAGGCGGAGGGCCTAGGCAACGAGGCGGAGCGCAAACCTAAGGGTCGAGCGAGGCGGAGGAGCAGAAACCCAAGGGCCCAACAAACATAGTGTTATTTCGGCATGGGCACTAGCATAGGGTCGTGCCCTCCCTAGAGGCCAGGTGAGGCGGCTCCCAATGGCCAACTTAGCCCTCCCCTGAGGCCGACATGACGCAAAATGGGTCAGTGCTATAGATGTCGGCCCAGTCCCTCCATCCGTTGGATGGCCTCAAGCCTGGAGCCAGGCCTCACTCTTGAACCAACATTAATGTGGATGCAATATAGTCGGGGATTATATTGGTTCCCGACAAGTCCGGTCCTAGCTCGCTCTCCGCCGCTCCTTGCTGGAACCGTTCCGGCCGGAACGCCTACAATTCGTATCTCCTTCTAATCACTTATGCGACAAGAAACGGAGGCCTTAGTGGGCGTGGTCTCGTGGGATCTTTGAAACCATGGGTGCATGACCCCAACTCGGTGTGGTGTTTGACATTCATTTTGTTTGGGTGGCGGTGACATGAGTGTAAAAAGTTAGTTGATTCATTACGCTAGAACCTATTGGATGTAAAAGTGCGACTCGGCATGGGTGCATGTAACTCAAATTCCATACCTTGTTCACAAACCAAACATATGCAAGTCGTGTAATGCTATTGGCATGGTAATTGTTTCTAGTTTTCTATTGTAATCCTTTTTTTTTTCCAAAACACGACCTATATATGTATGCAAACACACTGCCTCATAATATTAGGATTATGCCGCTGGTCGATGGCCAAATGGGTTTGGCTTATATATACTAGGCACAACACTCATATCAACCGCCCAACGTCAACATAGTGTTATTTCTAAATTATAAGTTATTCTGATTTTTTCTAACACTTTTGTTATGCATTTAGATATAAATTATGTCATGATAAAAAAAATAGATATATATTATATCTAGGTATGTAACTTTTTATATATAAAAAGCTAGAACTATTTTTAATTTAAAACCGAGGGAGTACTGTATTTCACATATTTTCTGCAGCCAGTGCGAAACTAACTTGGCGTCGCGTACGATGTGCATTGCTTGTTTGCTTAACCTTTCGCAAGTCAGCCAGATCTGCTTAGTCACCGTTCGATGAACTACGTCACCAAAGTCAAACAGTTCACTATCAACTAAACAACCACACTAAGGGTGTGTTAGGATCCGGTGACTAAAATTTAGGAGCCATCCGTTTGACAATATATAGGGTCACGTCACATCAACCACCACGTCAACTACCGATTTCTAATTTACTAAAAAAATAAATTATAAATCATTCGACTTTTCTAACACTTTTGTTATGCATTTAGATATAAACTATGTCATGATAAAAAATAATTAATATGTTTATTAGTACGTAACTTTTTATATAAAAAGCTAGAACTATTTTTAATTTGTCAAATCATGAACATATTTTCTGCAGCCCTGTGAAAAGATTCATCTCGCGTACAAATTGCTTTTTCACAACCTGGGCAAGTAAGCCAGATCTTAGTCACCGTTCGATGAACTGTATGTCACCAAAGTCAAACAGTTCACTATTATCAAGTTTAGGATAAACCAAAATCACCCTAAAGACAGCTTAGCATTGAGGGAAGTACCCAAGCACACAGTCTAACCCACCATTTGGCTTCACTAAATTTCATTGACGAGAAACAGATCTGATCGAGTTGAGGTGTGTACACGCTTGCAGGGTCAGCATATATATATCAAGATACTGGTTTAACGAGATCTAGCCAACCAGGACAGCCGGACCACCAAGGATTGATCCGATTTCCTTGCTTTGACATGGAGCAAAAACCTACACGGTTTGAAGGTATCTCACCATCTATGCTGCACCGAAGCGAAGTACAAGTACTCGCCCCCTCATGCATGTGCACGATGTCACGACCGGGCCGGCATTTGCATTTTGCAAAACGATGTTTACGCTACAACAAATATGTGGCTTTTTGACAACCTATTACATCATAATATATGGAAATTAAGTCATAAATTAAGATTTGTGACGATCAGTTGACGTAAATTCAAACGTCAAGAAGTCATCATCACAAATTAATTATGTGATGTTTGTATATTTATTGTCATAAGTATATGACATTGCTTAATTATCACAAAATCCTAGGCCTTGCCATGTGGCAGAAAAAAAACGTCACAAAATGAGATTTGGCCTGCTAAAGCCCACCTAGCTCATGGGCCACAAATATTTTTTATGGGCTGTTGCTAGCTGGTCCATTATTTATTTTCGTTTTTTTTGTCATTGCAGCCTGTACAAATTTTCAGCCCACATCAATTCAGTCCATATAATTTTTTCAGCCCATATATTTTTTCAGCCCATATGTTTTAATAGACCACACAATTCATGCCAATATTTTTTTCATCCCACAATTCAGCCCATATACAATATTTCATCACATACAATTGCATCCATATAATTTTTTCAACACATACAGAATCAAATTTAAATAAATCAACATCTCAATGAATTGTTGCAATATCACAAGCATTTCAACATTCCACAAGTCTTAAAATGCAATATCATTACATCCATCCATTGATTGAATACACATCCAAAGTCTCAAGTCTCAAAATTTAACTTGCTTTGCTACATTCAGAAAGCAAAGAAGAAGACATATCTGCAATAGCAAAGACAAACATCAAGGTAACTATAAAAGCACAAAAGCACAAGAAGAAATAGCCAAGCAATATGGCTAGAAGCACAAAGAACAACCAAAATACCATCCCACAAGCACAGCGGCCACAAGTTCAGTGTCACCAAAATATCATCTAGAACCTAATTGAGCATGAGAGCTTACTGCTAAGCATCAGGTGATGCAAACTTGCTACCAAACAAGGAGCGAAGAAAGCTTTGGATTTCACTTCCTTGCTGCCTTAGCTTCTTAGTTTCTTCTTCATTCTTCCTTGTTGTCTCTTTTTGGTCCTCTACTTGCTTCTACAGATCAACCATCTGTGATCGCAGTCTTGTAGATCCCATCTTCTCAGCTTGCAATTCACTCTCAAGCTCATGTACACGATCATTCATTGCAGCAGCTTTAGCATTTCTCTTCATCTCTATGGACTGCATGCCAACATTGCAAAGAAAAGTTGATTTGGGCAGAACATGAGCTACAACTTGAACATGAGTCTTCGGATCTTTGCCATCTTCTGTTGGTTGAGCAACATAGGCCTCCATTTGAGCCTAGCAACAATAACACAAAAATTCAGATTCCTATGCTAGTTGTGTGTGTGTGCAGAACAATATGTATGTAATGATGTCTATATAGAATGCAACATGTTGGAAGAAATGAAGTGATGTATATGGAATGGAACCTTCTATGCTAGTGTCCAGAATATATATGTATGCAATGTTGTCTATATGGAATAAAGATATATAATAATATGTCGTGTTGTTCATCATAGTAACAAGATAGGGAAAGGTACTCACAATGGCATCCTTCGTATTCTCATTAAAACCTGACTTGCTATACTGCAGTGGGTGTCCTTCAAAATATCAATCGCAGTTGGTGGTGCATCCTTAAATTTGGTTTGCTTCTGAAATTACATACAAATAGAAAAGTAAATAACTGAAAGCATGTGAAGAGATAAATGAATAATAGCAGCATAAAAAATCCCCTTTAATCCCCTTGGGCTAGAGATGAACCGAACAAACCATTATTGACAGTGAACACATCATTTAAGGAAAGCAGTGGCACTCTCTAGCACTCAGACTTGGACTAAATTATATAGTTGTGACTGGGATAGCAGCAACATTATCTACTGTATGTATAATTTAAGGACCAAGTTGTAGCAGCACAACAACATTAGCAAGATAGCAGCAGTAGCCACACGGTAGCAGCAGCAGCAGCAGCACAGTAGCATCAGCATTAACATTTATTCACTTGTATCCTAAGGTAGCGACCAAGTAGCAGCAGCACGGCAACATTAGCAAGATAGCTAGCCCAGCCAACAAGGTCCTAAATATGGGTGATTTTAGCATAGACACCACCAAAGCACAATTCTAAAAATTAGACAACAGTATCACTCTAGACACATACAAGCTGTTAGTGGACATTCTGAACACATACAAGCTCCAATATCAACTAAAAATCATAAAAGTTTATAAAGATGCAGCGATTTATCTTACCATGATATAGCATTGAGCAACATAGCTCCGAGATCCTATCATCTGGTAGTAGTGAACTAACTCATGGCTATCTTTGTCTTCAGACATTTTTCCTATACAAAGATAAATATTAGTGGACAGACAAACCATATTTTGTAAGGTAACATTTGTGATTGATATTAAGGAATGATACCTTGTGCTTTGGGGTAGACCACATGTCCATGAGTTGTTTCCACTTTATGTTAATCATGGTGGGTCAGCGGTGAAGTTGTTCTAACTTTATTTGCTGGTATGTCATTGAAGTATTGCTTCTTCAGCCTGTATCTCATCTGTCGTTGTCCTTTTTTGAGCAAATCGGAAAATGCATCTTTCACTGGACCAACATTTGCGTCAATGGTGAATTGACTATGGACAAGAGCATGAACATATCATTAAACAATATTCAAATGATATTCTGGGAGTGTGCAGCAATAGCGAGCAACAAGCAGTATAAACATGTGTCAACTCTAGATTATGCAACACTATATTACTAAAAGAATTTGAATATACAGCAGCTCCCCTCACCACTGGATCCGTCGTTGCTGGCCGCACCCGCAGTACACTCAAACCAAAGTCCACGAACACTGGTTCGTTCACATATGGTACATTACCTGCTATAGATATGATATATAGAATAAAATGTGTTTCATAACAAAACCACCTGGTTTGCTTGCCACTTGTGAACCATGAGATCATGGGTTTTGAGACCTAGCGTCCACTATTTTTTAGAACCACGAGCCTTTGGGTTTGAGACCCACGGGCTTTCTACAGGGCACGGCTTTTGGGCCTGGTAGCAGGCTTTTTGTTGTTGGGCCTTTAGGCTGATTGGCCCATTTAAGTGCCCGTTTTAGTTTCCACGAACAAGTGGCCCAATGACGTGGCAATAGGCCTTGCCAACTTGGACAACAATATTTAAAATAATTCAATAAATATTTTGTGACACATAAATAGGCCTTATGACAGCAAATATCGTCACTGAACCTAGTAGGACTAGTTGTATGACATTTGTTGTGGCATACAACTTTTTATAGTCACTAAATCAAAATGCCTAAAATATAATGTCATAAATCAGATGATATAGTGACATTATGACTTGTGGTTATACTAAATACGTCAAAAAGCCACACATTTCTTGTAGTGTTATGCTTATATTAGAGACACTAAGCAGCTCAGTTCATGTGTGTAGGCTTTAGTTTTTTATACGAACAAGTGGCCTGGATTGGAGCACCAGATTGGCCTGACATTCATGCATAAGTCACTCGGAGCGTGGATAGATCGCCACAAACAAGGTTTCCCTCGGCCTCCGACAAATTCCTCTTGGTGCCCTCCTCCGCAAATTCCTCTAGGTGCGCCCGCCGCGCCCCCCTCATCAGTTCATTTCCTCGCCACCTTCGTCTCTGATCTCCAGTTCTCCATCCATTGACTCTCCCTATAAATAAACAAACCTCTGACCTCTCCACAGTGCGTGGGAGCTAGCTAGCTAGAGGCCCAGAAGGTAGCTAGCCACGCCACCAGTTAGTTTCCAAGCTCGCTCGTAACCTTGCTAGCCATGGCATTGCTCTGCACACCCAGCAAGCTCCGGCACAGCATGCTTCTCGTCGGCGTTGCGCTGATGCTAGGGATGCACCTGAGCGCGGCGAGCCTGGACGACGACATCGAGATCAGATGGGGCGCAAGCCACACCTACTTCTTCATGGACGGCGACACCGAGTCGCTGGCGCTGTCCCTGGACGACGAGCAGGGCGGCTCTTGCTTCCGGTCAAAGGAGATGTTCCTCTACGGCACCATCAGCTTGGATATCAAGCTCGTCGAGGGCAACTCCGCCGGCGTGGTCGCCACCGCCTACGTAAGAGATCTCGCTCGTTCTAGCTCTCCCGGCCGGCCATGCGTCGTCTGCACTGCACCCATCTAGATTAGCTTTGGTTTCCAGGCTGCCTGATTGGGCCTTGGCATGCCAGTCATCAGTAGTAGTACACTTAGATTCCAAAACAAAAATTCAACGGAGAGATGCACGCTGCATGCACATGCCAGTGTGTTTTCAACGGCGAGATGTAGAGCCGCATGCACATGCCAGTCTGCGTCGAGGTCCCGAGGAGAAGGGGAGAATTGACTTTTACTGACACGTGGAATCTTTCGATGCGCGCGCGCGCGTGTGCACTGCATGCAGACGATCTCCGAAGGCCCGTGGTCGTATCACGACGAGATCGACCTGGAGTTCCTCGGCAACCTCACCGGCGAGCCAATCACGCTCCACACCAACATCTTCGTCAACGGCGTCGGCGGCCGGGAGCAGCAGTTCTATCTCCCGTTCGACCCCACCGCCGACTACCACACCTACACCATCGAGTGGAACCCCAAGTACATCCTGTGAGTACACTACCTTGCCGGTGCATCTACAGATTCACGTACGCTCAGCTCTTGGATCTATCGTTTTGTGACTCACTCAACTCATACATGCATTGTTCCGATGAGATGTGCAGGATTAGAGTGGACGGGAAGGCGATCCGCGCGTTCAAGAACTACGAGCAGTACGGCGTTCCCTTCCCGACGTGGCAGCAGCAGCGGCTGTACGGCAGCCTGTGGGACGCGGACGAGTGGGCGACGCAGGGCGGGCGCATCAAGACCGACTGGTCGGAGGCGCCCTTCGTCGCCTACTACCGCAACTACAACTTCACCTGGTGCCAGCCGTCGCCCGGCGTGTCGTGGTGCGGCGCCGAGCCCAAGGACTCCAAGCGCTTCGACCTGGACCAGAAGACGCTGGGCGAGCTGTGGTGGGCGAGCCAGCAGTACAGGATCTACGACTACTGCTCCGACCACAAGAGGTTCAACGAGTCCGACTTCCCCAAGGAATGCTCGCTGCAACGACAAGGACTGTGACTGTCAATTCATTCATTGAGGCCGGGCAATCGATCGGTTTGAGAGCTCGATCCGCTGATTATTACTTGATTTTGTACATCTGATGAAGAACACAGGTACGAGTACAATTTTGATTCTTTATTAGATTGGTGAGTCGGTCTTCTCCGATATGATCCGGCTGCATCCTTCACTTCTTCTCGGATCATTCAGATGTATCAAGATTTCTCTGACAGAGTTGCGCTTTGTTTTAGCATTGGTTCGTCATGTAAACCCATAAATAGCAACCACATTATTGTACTGATAAACCAAACTTTATCATTATTGGTATATCTTCCCTGCTGCTTCTGCATGAATAGTCACCCGTCTACAAACAGGAATCATGATCCACCATTTTTCGTTTAAATCCGAGTGTCAAACAACACATCACGTACTGTTACGACATCAGAATGACACGGGCTCAACTAGTGATGTGAGTGATCCATACATCAGCCGATCCGGTCGAGGTTGCACTCGGCCGGCGGGCCCTGCGGGAACCGCCAGACGTCGTCGCAGTAGTCGTAGATCATGTAGTTGGCCCGCGCCAACGCGACGCCCTCGGGTCCCAGCTGCCGATCCATCCACGCCCACGCTCCGGCCGGCGAAGACACGTTATTCGCCGGCGGGCAGCCGGAGGACACTCCGCTGCCGTCGCTCGGCTGCGCCTCGACGCACGCGCTGGCGGCGTACCCACCGTACGACGCGATGAACGGCGCGGTAGACCAGTCGGTCTTGACGCGGCCGCCCTGCGTCGCCCAGCTCTCGCCGTTCCACAGGCTTCCGTGCACCCTCATCGCCTGCTCGCTCAGGTACGGCACGCCGGAGGGCTCGTGGTTCTTGAACACGCGCACCGGGACGCCGTCCACTGACCAGCTGGGATAAGAGGAACGCGCGCGATTAAACTTTTTTTTTTAAAGAATCAAGGATCGTGCATGGTGGTCAGATTCCGGAGATCTATCCCTTTAATTCAATCTGGCCAGGTTCATGTTCATGCATGAAGGAACCAAATTAAATAGGGTAAGATTTGGATCCACTCATTAACAAGCTTAATAATTTTGGTGAGATTTGATTCAGATGGTTAATTGAGACCATTTAAACAGAATCTAGCTATAGTTTGACTTATCAAGTTGCCACGCATACAGAAACTAATTCTTCCTCTTTGACATTTTCTTTTGTTATTTGTTATGGCTATCTTGACCATGTTAGGTGAGGAGGCTTCTTCTCATGTGCGTCTTCACGCGTCTCCAGCTGTTCTAATTTACAGTTAATTAACAGGGGGAAAAATGAACTTGCATATGCTCCGCTCGTGCTTCGAATTCGAAATATGCGAACTCCAAGGTACTGAAACACTCCCGCCGCACGTCCTCACAATCATTTGGCTTCAATTTGCTGCCCCTGTGCCGTTTCCGTGGAACCGACCGAGAATGAAGCCGTCGACAAGAGAGAACAAAAAGTAAACGGAAAATCCAAATTACGCTAGGGGGTTTACGAGCGACCCGGCACCTGATTTTGCTGCCGATGCAAGCTGAATGTTGCCATCTTTGCTGCGCGCTTTTGTGGGTTTGTCCAGGGTAGGTTTGAGCAGTTGTTGCAGGCTTAGCCCATTTGATCCGATGTTTCAGAGGGATCCAACACTACATCTTTTTTGCCCTATGATTAATTCGTGCCCTATGATATTGGTGGGGTAAATATAGTAAGTGGAATTCAAGAGTTTTTCCTTCAAAAATATATTCAAGAGTTTTATAGCCTCCCAACACATTCTTTTTTGCTTATATCTTAGTTACTGGTAGTTCACGTTTAAATTATACTACTTACTTTACACATGAATTACAACCACTTTTTGGTGTTCTTTTAGGATACTATATGGTATAAAAAATTAGGGCGCTAGAACCTCAACTCCTGGTGTTTTATTAGCACAGAGTTAGATTTAATTTGAGCCATATGTCTTAAAACTGAATGTATAAGCAATAAATGTTGAGATCAGCACACTCGCTAAGTAGAAGCCATGTGATATTTTCGAGGGTTCAATACCCCAATTTTGATGCCTTAAATTTATGCCAAGGTGTATACTTTATGCTAAAATTATGTAAAATTTAAACGTTTTTATAGGTTTTTGGAAACTGTTGGAGGATCTCAACAAATATACTCCTATTTTTTAGCCTCTTGGAAAACTCATCGATTTACCAACCGCTTTTTTTGAAATTATTGGAGATGCTCTAAGGTTCAAGCGTTTTTATAGGTTCTTATAGCTGAGTATGCTAATTATGGTTAATCTATGCTGTATTTAAAAAAAAATCATACCCATGAGTTAGAGTCACGTTGTAGATGTAATAATTTTAAGATGCGCCAATCTTCTGAAACACCTGTTCTTATCACATTTTTTCTGAACAGGTGATAGAAGGTGTTATGCCGTTTCATATAGTAGAATTTTGTAGTGCAGAAGCTAAGCTAAATCTAAGTCAAGATCTAAAAGTGGATGGCTGTAAAATCAAGCCTTATGATGGTCGGTGATATATGTTGCTTAAGCGACTCAAAGTTAACTATATTTTTTTATTTGGTGAAGTATTTTTTTTCTTTCTTGTAGAAATACTCCACGTTTGTAATAGGCCGAATCCTCGCTCAGGAGTCAGGAGAAAGCTAGGAAGGGGCCTGAACTCTGGCCTAATTTTTTATAATTTGAGTCTTTTTTTTAAGAAAATTTACATTTGACTTCCTAGGAGACTTAAACTCATCTTTGGATCTGGGGTCGGCGCCATGAGTCCCTGGCGCCAAAGTAATATCTCGGCGCCACAAATCGGGCGGCGGCCAAAGTGCTGGCCGTGACGCAGTAGAAAATCCCTCGTGCTGGGCACGGATATCTCATGGTATGGATATCATGGGGCTAGCTCGGCGCCATGTATTTTCTGCCGCAACATACATTCAAAGTGATAGCTGAGTATGTTAATTATGGTTAATACTAGCCTATTTCAAAAAGGAGGGCCATGCAATTAATGTCTCGCACGGGGAGGAGGAGGGTGCAATTAATAATTTAAGATGCGGTTTACCTTATAATCCTCACCTGTTCTTACTTGTTTTTTTTCTGTAAAATGATGTTTTTTCTCATTACAACTCAGCCAAAACAGTATTTTTCAGCCAATTCAGCCAAGTTTCAACGAGCCGAACAGGCCAATGTCGCAAGCACTGACGGCCAACCACTTCTACAGTGCTGGAGGACTGGAGGTACAGCGAGGAATGAATGAAACAAAGCATGAAGCACAAACAAGAGCATGGAAGAGAGGGAAAGGAGACGCTTTTCTTGACTACCGGTTGCCACAAGGACCCTCAGATATCTAGGACAAAGGAGGATTCTTTCCTCAAACCAACAAGAAGGCCAGGCAGGATTAGTACAAACCTGTTTATCGCGACCTCCGGTATTTTTTTTCTACCGGTAAAGTGAACCTTATAGTAGTGTTATTTTTTGTTGGATAACAGCATCAGGTTACCTAGTCTTTTGGTCAGGTAGTGTTTTTTTAAAGAAAACAGTTTCTGTTTACATACCTTTTGTCTGTTTGTACTAGTAGTATTAAGTTGTTTTGTTTTGTCGTACTAGTATAAATACAGAATTTTATAATAGTAATAACGAGCACCGCAGCTTCGGTTAGTTTTGCCTGCATTTCCGTAGGGGAGTGGCAGAGTGATTCAGGCCCTGTTTAGTTCCTAAAATTTTTATCTTAAAGTATCACATCGAATCTTGCGGTATATGTATGGAGTACTAATGTAGATAAAAAAAAATAATTGCACAGTTAGGTGAGAAATCGCGAGACGAAACTTTCGAACCTAATTAGTCCATAATTAGACACTAATTATCAAATACAAACAAAAGTGCTATAGTAGATGAACCCAAAAATTTTCGTCAACTGCCCTTGTTTAGTTCGCGAAAAGTTGGAAATTTGGCTACCGTAGCACTTTCGTTTTTATTTGGCAATTAGTGTTCAATCATGGACTAATTAGGCTCAAAACGTTCGTCTCGCAATTTCCAACCAAACTGTACAATTAATTTTTTTCGTCTACATTTAATGCTTTATGCACGTATTGCAAGATTCGATGTGATAGGTACTGTAGCATTTTTTAGGAAAACTTTTCGCGAACTAAACGAGGCTAAACGCGCCCTCACTTCACTTGGTAGTGGTAGAAAAGAGCAGGCTGGCGAGGGTCACAAGCGTGATTCGTCCAAGAGAGAGAGCAGACCAGCCACAGGCACAGCCATAGTAGGCATTGGAAGCTGTGGGTCTGACTGGGACAAAGCGACCAGCCTTGCAGTGCCGGGCACCAAATTTTTATAGGGCTTGTTTAGATTGGGGTTAGAGATCAGTAGGCCTTGTTTAGATTGGGGTTAGGAATCAGTATTTGATATTGTACTATTTTTGTTTGTATTTGATAATTATTGTCCAATCATGGCCTAACTAGGCTCAAAAGATTCGTCTCGTAATTTACAATCAAACTGTGTAATTAGTTATTTTTTTATCTACATTTAATACTCTCTGCATGTGTTCAAAGATTTGATGTGATGAAGAGAGAGTGAAAAAACTTGCAATCTAAACAAGGCCCTAGAGCGAGAGTGCAGTCCTTCGGCACGAAGTGGTTGGCCGTCAGTCCTCGCGACATTAATTGCATGGCCCTCCTCCTCCCCCGCGCTGAAAGTTCTAGTTTGGTTTTGGTGAATTGATGAAACCCTAAGTGCTAACCTAGTTTATCAAGTGATCATGAGATAGGTAGCACACTCCAAATGGTGAAGCAAATGAAGATCATAGCATGATAAAGATGATGGCATGGTGATGATCAAGTGCTTCGACTTGGAAAGAAGAAAGAGAAAAACAAAAAGCTCAAGGCAAAGGTATAACTTGTAGGAGCTATTTTATTTTGGTGATCAAGACACTTAGAGAGTGTGATCACATTTAGGTTTGATAGCAGTACTATTAAGAGGGTGGGTTCAGATCGGAATGCGG